ATTTTGGAGAGGACATAAGTTAATTTTTACAAAATTTCAAACTAATATCAAACTGGAATACCACATTCCAGTTTGAAATGTGGCAGTATACATTTATTTGGAGAGGCTGACCTGTCAAACTCATATTTACTATGAATTTGTTCATAGTAAATATTATCTTATCACTGACTGCAAACTAACTGTGCTCTTAGTAATACTGCACATCTAAAAGAAATATGGTTGCTTTGTAATGTTTGAATCACAGAAATCTTTTGTTAAATTTTAAGGTAGTGTGATATTGAAGTTTCCTCTCTGCTGTCACAAGTGTTAGTCTTGGATGTGCAGTGTTAAAATGATGCTTGAGTTTGTGGTCAGATGACAAACCATTTTAAGGTAGCATGTCATAATCCCTGTAATATTTATTAGTGGAACAAATACCAAAACATTCTGGTACATCAAAGATATGAATTTGTTTCCTAAACTTAAAATTGCACCTTTTCATTTGTAGTTTTCCTATTTTTACTGATTCTCTGCATAAAGGATTTACTTTTAAAGCTGAGCAGAAGTTGAAAGAAACTAAACTAAACAACACCCAGATCAAGTAACAGGAAATGAAAACAACGTAAAAGGAAGTCAATATCCTTTTCAGTGGGAAGATGTTGTTCTTTTACAATAGTGAAGGTCAACAAATGTTTTTTTTCTCACTAAAACACATAAAGCGTCTTCCTCTCCTTCATTTATGTTTCAGGTGGGTCGAAGGCCTTCAGGCAGTCCTTTCTGACGTCACTCTGTTATTTGAGGAGACTCTGCTCAAGTTTCCCACGAGGCACAGACTCTTCTCTTCTCCCTGACCCCCTGGTGAGCGGGGGTCACGCATCAGAGAGGGGAATGAAAAGGACTCTGATTTATGACCCACTGTAGATACCTTCAGCTCAAGAGAGAGTCTTGTTACAGGAGTTACCCAGCGGCTTCTCAAAATTTGAGGCTTTGACAGTTTAGAGGAGAACTAGACATCCTGAGCTCTGAGGCATGATACTGAAAGTTAAAAACAGCATTTTGAATGTCTTTGTTGTGTGTCCGGACAAAAACCAGGTACAGTACAGTGGATATTTTCACTGCATTTCTGGATATAAACTACTACTTAAACCAAAATCGAATAGCAGATTTAGTTAATATATTTTGATCATTTCTGTCATTACTAAACTTTATCTTGAAGATTTTTATCTCAGTCCGTCAAAAAAAAAAATTCAATCTGGATTAACTGAAACTGTTTGATTTCAGTGCCTCAGCTGTTATTCACAATTTCTTGCCACAGGTTGTGACATTTATTTTAAAAAAAATACATCCACTTATTTCTACTTCTTGAGATCATATTAAGCCCTAAAATTTGTTACACAGAAGCAGTTGCCTATAAACATATATTTTCTAATCCTTTCTCTTTCACCACTCACTATTTTTCCATAACAATGGATCGATCAGTGGTTTAAGCAGCACAAATTCATGGATATGGAATCTAAACAACTTTCTTTCAGTGAGGAAAATATTTGAGCTTGTTTTAAACAGTGTCACTACACCTCGTCTCCTTGTCAGAGTTTAGTATTTAGTATCTGACTTATAATTAAGAAGGAATCCATCAATCAACCTATGATTTCTGTAATATTTCAGTTCCACAAATATTTTCAGATTAACTAATGAAAGTGCTGTTTTTCATAAAGTGTATGCAGATCTTTCTTTAGATTTTACCAGGGAGTTGTCCAGGTATCTGCAACTAGAATGAAGAAATGTCATGTCAGCTGGTGATTTTCCATTTTATCTTTCATAGGTTGCATTCAGAGTAGAAAAATAATGCAGATGCAATTTTACGATGATTTGAGTCTAAACTGTGCCCAAAATCTTTTCAGGACACTCACACCTGTAATTTGAGCTGTCTGGACATGATCAAACTGCTTTAGGTGGATATTAGTGGCAGGTCTTGATGGTGTTTTTTTCTTGCTTGGTAACAATGGATGCTGCTTGTGCCGTTTGTTGTAAGGATTCACAGTTGATTGTTGTTAAAATTAAAGAGTTTGACTTAATTTCAGTTTGTGACATTTTTGTCAGAGGAGAGCATTTTCAATGAGATTAGACCTGGACTCCAGGCAGTGTAGTCAACCACTTACACTCTGTATCTTCAAAGCAACATTACATTAACAAAAGATTACTTTGCCTATTTTATTTTTTACCAAAAGTAAGTCAAAAACTTGGATTCATCTGACCTAGCAACTTTTAATCAGTTTTTTTTTTTTGTCAATTTGAGATCAGTTTATTCAGGCAGGCTTTCTCTGTAAAGGCAATGCATTGTTTTCTCTTTTCAAAAAATCTCCAGTTATGACTAAGTGACAACGATGATTGATGTCTTTTTCCCAAAATTCAATTTAGAGATTTTGACTCATCAATTTACAAAACCACTCCTGCTGCAACACAGTCTCATTTAAGTGTACATTTTAGATGTTTTGAGAACTTCTTTTATTAAATTTGCACTTGCTAATGAATAGCTCTGCCTGAATGTTTTGTGTTTGAGTCCCTGAGTCATGAACCATGCTCCTCTCTCACATGGGCAGTCTGCTGCAGCTGCTGATGCAGAAGAACTAGGCCAGATTTGACACACTTCACAACCCATCCTAACTCTGACACACATTATTGCTGCTCAGGGCACAGAGGAAAAAAAAAAATCAAAGCTACAAATGTCATCGCAACAGGAAGTCCCACAGACACACGAAAACATCTGGAGTCTATCTGAGCACTTTGATTTTTGGGGACTTATTTTAAAGAAACTTGGATTTTACAGGGGAAAGGTTCGCACAAGTTTCAAACTGCTGTAAAGAAAATTTACAAAAATGATGGCGTAAAACTCTCACTGTAACAAATTAGAAGTGGGTGAAAACTTTTTTGCTGAACAAAAGTGCAGAGTCAAAGCCAGTGGGAGAGAAAAAACAAGAAAAAAAGCATCTGCAGCTTCAAAGCTCAGACTCCTGCTAGTTTACCGTCCTCTTTTCAAAAGACCAGACCATTTTTTTCTACTTGTGAGCACACTGAGTCATAAACAGGTACACCCGACTCGACTTCCCCCTCACGAAAACTTTGCTTGCTCAGCACCAGACTGATGTAAACCACGTCGGCTGTGTCAGACTCAAGTAGCTCACCGCCAGCTGTTATCTGTTTACTTCCAGTGCAGACAGAGGGAAAAAGGCCCGGCTCAAAACACGACCATATGCTCAAAGCTTGTCCTGTGAACCCATAACAGGATGTCACAGCAGGCCCTCCGGTCAGAGTAAGTGACTGAGACTCAGCCAAACAGGAGGGCTTTGGTTTTATTCTGTGTGTGGGACTCAGAATAATGCTCACATGGAAAACACTGTGTTCATGGTTAAATGTGAAGTTATTGCAGTAATTACAAGCTTGCAAGGCATTGTACAGCCAGTAGCCTGAAGTGGTGCAGTAAGATGTCCTTGAACTTCTTTGTGACGTTCTTACAGCATAATATTTATATTGTGTGAATGTGATAATTTATTGTGCTAACATCAAAAAGATATGGTTATAATAATGTACGTTTTTTTTAAGCGTGTAAAATTTTTTACATTAGGAGCCTGGTAAGAAAATATTATGTTTTAACATATTTTAATGTGAAAATGTTGCTCTAAAGACACAGTTTTTATGTTTGTACAATGTATTATATCATTGCACCAATATACATTTATTATAAAAACTTTTTTTTTTCATTTGTCTTTAAAAGTTGTATAAATACATTTTACATGGAATAGGATGCACTTGCTAATGTTTCACTTTTCATTTTTAGATCTCAAAGTCAAAATGGAATGATCAGATATACCTCTAAGATTTCTAGCCAGCCATGTTGAGCTGGAATGTCTGAAAACAACGACTGACTCAGAGAGGGGACAAAGAGTGTCAGGAGGAGGCTGCAGACAGGGTGGAGGGTTTGCTCCCAGATGTAGCATCAGGCCACACAGAGGCCTCCTTGTCTTCCAGCTCAACCTGCTGCAGCTCTCCAAACACCATGCTATGCAGGGAATGCTAAAAGGATTAGCGCCCAGCCTGTTGAGATAATGTGAAAAATAAAATTTTATGAAGCGATTTGAAGGCTTGGGAAAAGAGTCAAGGGTCAGACTGTGCTGAGACAAAATGCACATGTCATTAACATCTAGTGTGATTAACTAGATGTTAAAGTTTACATGCCATATGCAAAACTTATATAAAACACTTTTTTGATAACATGTGTAACCTACAAATTACCATGTACTGATATTTCTCAAAAAATATTGCGTAAAAGTGCTAGATTTCTTCCCAGTCACCCAGAAAGTAAAACAATTATTTGATAGATTCATTACAAATAGACTAAAATATTTTAAGCCTTTATTTATTTACAATTTTAACAATTATTATGTCTATGTTAAGAAGTCCCAAAATTCAGTGTCTCCGAAAATCAGAATTTCACATTAGTCCAATAAAAAATGGATGTTTCAAGCACAAATGTCAGGCTTCTGTGCACTAAATACTTGGTTTGGCCTCCTCTTGCACAAATGACTGCATAAATGTGCTGTGGCAATCGGTGTATGACACACTGTGTAGGTGCAATTGAAGTCCAGATTACTTCAGTGAGATGATCAGAGACACTGAATTTTCATTATCTAAAAATCATTATAATCAAAATTAAAAGAAACAAAGGCTTGGAATTTATCAGTCTATATTTGGGAAATATATAGAACAGTGGTGCCCAAAGTCCGTCCTTGAGGGTCAAATTTGGACACCACTGATACAGAATATGAGTTTCACTGTCTGAGGTGACTGGTAAGAAATATTGCATTTTACACAATATTATTTTTTTAGATGTACTCCGTAAGATTTCTAAAAGTGATGTCCATGTAAAACTGTAAAGCTTAAAGTTTCATAGTGTGGATTTTGCTGTATAATGCCTGTGAAATAAATGTAAGAGATAACAGTGAAAGACAACACACTTGGTTTCACTTTTCTGTTTTTATTAGCAGTGTACATCATACACAAAACCTTTTTGGAATAAAAAAAATCTCTCTCATATACACCAAATTTTAGAGCCACTTTGTAAACATGCAATAAAAATAGGTCTATGTAAAAGCAGTTTCAGAAGTGTGTCATGCTTGTGACAAATACAGAAAAACATCAAGGCTACAAGTTTTAATTTAGGACATGTATAAATAAACTAAGCCCATCATTTTTGGTTAGCACTCAGTCCATGAGTCCTCGCAGGCTAACCTCCACATACTTTAACAGATTACAGTGGCATCTTCCAGGGCAAGAAATGGGAATGACCTTTCAGGGAAGTGTGACGCAGTGAGAAATGGATGAAGTGAGGTAGGATCTGTGCTTATCAGTGGGAGGAAAGTTGGTTAGTCCTCCCCTGCATGTTTTCATGGACCAGCTGCATGGGTTAAACATCTGTAAACTAGCAGTTGGTGAAAGTGACTCCCTACAACATCCCTACAACAACTTCTGCCTCTTTTCAGAGTTGTACAAATTAGTTTGTAGGATTCCAGTTCAAAGTCTTTACAGGGTGGAATATTAACCCAGGTTTTCTATGTGTATTATGGTTAATGAATCAGAAACTTACATAATAGTCACTATACTGGTGTGAAATGCATTGATCTCAACTTTAATAATTTTCTTGACCTTTGTAAGCAGTTCAAATAAATGAAGTAAAATAAAATATTAATACGGCCAAACATCGTTTAAAGTTGTTCTGGATGCTGATGTTCTTCTGAAACCAGCTCAGTGTTAAACATCCTGGTGAATTTTACACTCTCTAATTTCCTCGATCTGTCCAGTTCAGTGCAATCATACACCCCACAGGAGCGTCTCACGAGTTTATTCCAACGCCTGCGTTTAAGGACGAAAATTGTAAGAGAAAAAAAATAAAGAAAAAGAAACAAACTCAACTGGGACAGATTCAAATGAGGTACACAGTTCACTTCACTCTCACACAATCACTGTTTACAAAGAAAAATATAGCTTAGTGGTTTTTAAATTACTCAGTATGAGGGAGCATTACTGTCAAGAGTAACAACCTGTAAGCATGTTTCAAACATCTATGTGCCTTTTGATGGGTTACATGGGGAATTCAAGTCTGCTCAGAATCCAGTTCTGCCAAAAACAAAATAAAAAATACTGAAAAGAAGCTTGAAATGTAAAGGATAATGTCCACATCACTCACCCACTGATACTATCAAGCTACACTGGGAGAGTAAGGACAGTTCACACTCATACAAATAGTCGCTAGATTCTATAAATACAACATTTAAATCTGACAAGATGAAACTATCAGCTGTTCTACAGTAGAGGAACTAAAGGTAATTATATGCCATGGAATGCCAGTAATGCTGATTTTAGTTCAAAGGAAATACAAAACAGATACATAAATGCTGTTGTTTTGCATTATGAAGCTCTAGTAACTTCAGTTGAACAGATGAGTTTTTCAAAATCGTCTTAAGAAATATGTAAAAGTTCAACAAATTCCAGACATAAGACCTGTTAACTGCATCACCCTTTGAGCTAATCAACTACGTGCTAAATTTTAAGCTCGCAATAAATATACGAAAGCTATTGTTAGTGTTAATGAGTAAGTTGTGAGGTAAATACTAAAGAACCGACTGATGGTTCTTTAGTATTTACCACACAACTTAAGAAAAAACAAAAAATATACATATACAGTACAAGTAATACAAGAAATACATTAGCATTTGGCAGTGTTGTAGTTTTCTAGACTGGTCTTGGTCTGACTGTGTCCAAAAGTCTGCAAAGTAGTGATGAGACATTCACGAACAATCCGAGTCTTCTGAACTTCTCTTTACTAAAAAGACAGGACCGGAGCCTCACTGACAGTTGTTCTTTGCTCTTGTAATGCTCTGCGTGCGCTGTAGTAGCTATCATTATTTTTATTTAATTATATACATTGATATTTATTTAATTAGCAAATCAATAAAACACAAGAGCAAAAAAGCATACAGAGCATGCACATTGCTCATTGATTGTTTTCGTTCAAAGTGGCAGCTGAAATGACTGCTGCCTTGGACTTCATGGCATTGTGCTGCCTGGCTTCATGCAGTGGGAGAGAGGGTGAGAGCAGTCATGGTGAGCACCTTGTGTTTGGTTATTTATTTCTTGTTGCTCTTTGGTCAGTGATCACAGTTGAGCGTTGTTTACCATCAGGGCATTGTCTCAATTGCGATGTTTCATGGTGCAGTCAGCAGTGACTTCTGGCATGAACGATACGGGCAAATGCCCAGGGCATTATCTTTTTAGATAAGCAGAGCAAAGAATTTGTTCTGCTACTAATAGTTTACATATATTCCAGCTCTGAGTATTTAATATCTAGGTGTTTTTTATGGGAATGTAAATCTTTCAGATCAAATTGTTTAGGAATTTTGATCATATTTCACATTTTATTGTGTCATGTAGCACTGGTCTTAATCCTGACACGGTCTTGGACCCTAATAGTCTTGGTCTTGTCTCGGTCTTTGTACATTCTGTCTTGGTCTCGGGTTAGGTGGTCTTGACTGCAACACCGGCATTTGGTGTTGAAGAAGTCATCTGTCAGCTCAACGTTAATCTAATCCTCTGGTGTATGGATCCTGTATTAATGCCTGAAAACTGTTCAAATTGAAAAGCTATTTGTTCCTTTACCTAGTTTATAGATTATTGAGCAAAACTAATTAGTTTAATTGGTACTTTTAAGAATACACCTAAACTCTGGCTTACAGTTTATATGAAAATAAACTTTTAGCATTCCATGGCACATGCAGTTGAAACCAGATGTTTTGATACAAAAGATATTTATCTTCACTGTTTGACATGGAATCATACTAAACTTTTCCAGTTTTATGTCAATTAGGATTGCTGCAAGCAAGGCAGCCAACAAAAACGATCCACTGACACCAGTTCAGTCAGGAGGAATGGGCCAAACTTCCTGCAAGCTATTGAGAGAATGGCAAAATACAAATCAAATGTTAGGGAAATATAAAGACAGTGCACAGTGTATGTAAACTTCTGGTTCCAACTGCAAATCTTCAATCCTCATACTATACAGTTGACTCTTTGGGTCCTTCCTGAACTGCATTCTTGCACCCATACAGCCACTTAATGACACGGGCATTTCTCTCGATGATGGACACGCCAGTGGGAAGCTGCTCTGCCAGTTCTTCCTGAAACAGTCCATCTCCTGAGTGACGGGAAAACTCACTGGGCTCTGAGCCACCACAGCCGTCCCCTCCTACACTCCGCAGAGCCAAGGAAAGCGTGTCAATTGAGCTGGCATAAGAGAGGAAATTCTCCCGGCCCAGACGCTCTATCATGTCCATGTCCAGTCCACAGAAGTCAAAGAAATGCTCCTGCTCTGATAAAGCTACCGAACAGCGCAAACGCAGGTCTGACTTGGAGCGCTGCAGTTCTCCAAACTGCCTTCTCTGTGGCATTGGGGAGGCACGCTTCCATGGATCACTCTCATCATCATGTCTAATGTTTATTTGTTCAGTGGCGCCATTAATAAAACCATTTTTTGTGTTTTCTAATGTGCAGTTCAAACCCGTACTTTGGATAGACTCTGGGGTGCGTTCTTGGTCCATCTTGCTTGACCTTCGACTCATTGGTCCTGCATCTGTAACATCTTTGTCGTTGGTCCAAGACATTCTAGAGTCCCCATCCCGTGAAGGTGCTTTCTCGTCACCTATCACCATCTTCTGAACTCTTTCTCCTCCGCCACTCTTTTCTCTCATTGAACCCTGGAAGAGGCGACGTACAAAACTATATCCCTTCAACTCTATGTTATTGTTCTCTCCCATTGTGGTCCTGTTGGGGCTTTTGCACTCTTTCTTCTGCCTGTATATTAACAGGGAGTCTGGCCTCAGCATGCGCTTGCCTGTACTCCTTCTGAGAACTGGGGCACTGTGTGGCGCTACCAGGCTGTTAATTCCAGGCGTCCTGGGGCTTGGAAGCATAACTTTGCTCACATTGCTCCTGTTGTGTGTTTTGATGTCAATAGAAGTTCGTCTGTTCTCCTTTCTGGCATCATCATTTTCATTTTCGTCTTTTGAGGTGAAGGAGCCAGAGAGAGTAGAGAAGGGGGTGTTGCATGACCGTCGCGGAGAAGAACGAGGGGTCAAGCTCCCGGGTACAGAGATGGCTCTCCGAGGCTGTGGAGGTGGCGTGGCACAGGGAACAAGCACAGGTTCTTGTTTGGTGTTGATCACCTGCTGACTCTTGACATATTTGGCTTTGTCAGCCTCAAGCCTCTCCACAGCGCTGACCGAACGACCGTGACCCCCACCGTCGATCTGCCTCCGCAGGTAATCAGGACCCTTGTTGAGCAGCCTCAGAGGAGAGGGGGACCCAATTGGAGTGAGGGGTTTCATGTTACTTTACTGAGCAGGGAAAGACATCAAAACTGCAGTTTCTAAACTGGCTCCGAGCTTCCGGTCCCCACAGTGAGCTGTTGTTGGCTTTGGAGAAGTTTCTAAAAGTAAAAAATTGCAGCGACTCTCATTCTTGTTTCTCACAGCTCTCAAAACTTTCTGAAAGGGTTATGAAGAAGTGGTAATTCAAGTGACCGCAAAGTCCAAGTTTGTTGCTGTTTTCTATAGATAGCTCACAGTCTCTTTGTTGGGCGGTGGAAGAACTCAGACTAATTGATATCTCTATCTAGTATTTACCCAGGCATCTGACCAGGCAGGCAATGGAGACATGCTTTTTTTGTCAGCCAGCAGAGCTCCCAAATAAGATGCTCCCTGCCCACAGCGTGGCAGAAATAGGCAGGGGTGCACTTTGAAAGGGTTTCTTCTTCCTCCCCCTCTTTTCGCTTCTCTCGTTTCGTCTCTTAACTGCACCCTTCACTGTTGATCTTCTTGGTGGTGGCTGGCCGGTGAAATGAGATATAATGGCCTCAAATATTTGTTGAGTGCAGATCTTCTCAGGGGCAGCAGGTCAAGACTTATTGTTTGGCACCCGTCCCAGATGAGATGACCTGACGGTGGCCGGCACCAAGGCACTTGGTTCGATGATGGGCAGGTGAAGAAGAAGCAGATCGTGTCCTTGTCCTAACCTCGGCTGTGAAGACCCCTGGGAGAGACGGGGAGAGAGAAAGAGTGGTTTTAGTTTGATATGCTGCTCTCTGGGGCAGGCAGCAGAGACCAGATGGCTGAAAAGACAGCAGTCCCTTTAGCTCTGCTCAGACTGTACCCATTTAAAACCAGAAGGAGTTGCATGACTGCAGCAGGCAGAGATATGAAGCTGACATATTTGAGCCTTTAATTACTATCAGGCGTGTATATAAATAAAATATAAAAAGTCCTTGCACGTCAGCCTCAACATAGGATGAATTGTGACTGAAAATAAACCGAATATGGACTCTGTTGTCCAGAAGGGATGATGGCATGACTGCTTCTATCTTTTCTCTGTTTTTGCACAGGAAGCGAGCCACACCTTTTCTTATTCTGAGGAGTCGTTTGTTTTAGCTATTTTTATCTTTCGGACTGAGACAATCTGTTTTGGCACCAATTCAGCTGCTTGCTACAGTTAATAGACTAAAATAAACTTTACAGGCAGAGATGTTGCCAAACAATATATTACATTTTGAAACAAGCCAGTGTAACTGATGTCTTAAAAATCAGATCAGAAAACTATAGTCAGACTGCTGTAATTTAAAGCCACTAAATATTTCTAAATGAAGCTAGACACCTCCAAAGTACCAACTGTTTCAGCCTCAACGCTCTTCATTTTTGGACACTAAAACAAACAGATTATACTGTTTCCCTAAATGTCACCATATTTTGCACTATTATATTTTACATCAATTTCATGCTGCTTTTGCATTTGAGAGGGTAAAAAGCGGGTTGTACATGCTTATAACAGGCTAGACTCTGCAGAAGGAGTATATTTAGCTAGAAAAAACTCAAGCACGGTTATCATGTGTCTGTGTACATGTTGGTCTGGATGTGTATGCAGCGATGGGTATTTGCATGTCTGCTCTAGTTTTTCACCTGAGTTGTGTGTGTGTCTGCGTGTGTGTGTGTCAGTTCCGGGCAAATAGACAACTTAATAAGTGGTAGTGTCTGGAAACCAGAACCCCAAATTCACAGGTGGTTTGTGGTCCAAATAGGGAGAAAGGTGCTCATTGTCTTCTGCATGACAGAGGGAAAGCCATTATTGTTGGGTTTAATTTTCCTTAAGTCACCTTCAAATGTTATCAGCAGCTATTTCAGTTTTTCCTTCTCAACAAATGAAACAAAAACAGCAAGGAAAATGATTCACATTTCATTGTTATAATAATCTACATGACACATCCGACAGGAAAACGTGGAACTCCCCCATCTCAAAGTCAGAATGTTTTAGGTATCAAGATATGTATCAAACTGAGGAAGCACAGAGCTGCCACTCGAAGAAAAATAAAACCACATCATGGCATAAAGTATTGTACCAACAAAGCTCTGCACATCAGGCCTGTAAAGTGTTTTTCTGCTTTTTAATATGTAATTCAGTATTCAGCGCTCCATCAATACCTTTTGCTTAAAATTTTGATTTAATCCTCCGTCAATATTGACGGAGGATTAAATTTTTGTCTGAAGTGGGATAGTTTCTTCTTACATGTTATTCTTCATTAAGTTGTGCAACAAATTGAGGTAGCAATCATAACCAAATATAAATTCCTAAAAATGCCTAACACAAACTGTGTGTGGGTTGTGTTGTTTGTTCCAATGCCATATTACCAGAAGAAGAAGGAGCAAAGAAACCTTTAATGATCAATGAAACGCCCACCAATCAGATCGCTGTCAGATTTTATTGTTTGATTGCTGCATAGCACTGATTTTAGCTAATTTCTCTTAAAGTTGAACATCACTGGCTTTAAAGAAGTGCAGCCTGTGCTCAATAATGCATGAGTCATGCATCTTATGCATAGCACATTTAAATGAATCAAAGCTGCCTGGAGAAACTGCAGCCTTAATTTATTTATTTATTCCTCAAAATAATTGTGTTGCATCAGCATACTTGTACCTAAGACAGAAAACTATTTCAAACTGTTTTACATTTATGACCAATTGAAAACAAAGGACAGGTAATTGCACAACTACCAGACCTTTCATATCAATGCTGATTTTTTTTTTTTTTTTGTTCATACATAAAAAAAACTAAAAAATGTAAATATAACCAGCCTGCTGAAATAGTCACACTTTCATATGAAAAGCTTTCTATATCTAACTGTTTTATGTATAACTACTCTTCAGCTACCACTAAATAATAAGTGCTGCTGAAACTTTAGAAGAAGAGCTTAAGTTTCACCATAATCTACTTCATTCAGCCTCCACGCCCCTTGCAGAGCTTGTCAAATGGCATGCCACTGTAAATTACCTGAGGAATAGGGGCCCTGGCATGCTGGTTAGCTTTTCCAGATGTTGGAACTCGGGAAAGCCAACCATTGTTTAGGCAGAGTTCCGGGAGAAATTTCTCACGACAGGTGTGGAGGTAAAAAAGGAGACAGGGCTTGGCATGAGGCAAGAAAAATGAGTGGAAAAGGGGGAGGAAGTGGGACTGGGGTTACAGTTCAAGTTTTGGGTGTTGGGGGTATTGATGAACAGACTTTCCTTTGCAGTGCAACAACTGATTTTACTCTGATCGTATCAAAACACAAGACTGAGCAGAGTCTGAAATTATTATTGTAAATGACTAAAAATGTAAACACATACAACTTATTAATACTGAAAGTAGCAAACATAAATCATTCAGTGATCATTTGAAAATAACCTTTTGATAACAGAAAACCTTAATCATCCTGCCATGTCCTGTAGCCAGTGGCAATATGGCTGTATTGCTTCATTCAACTCAATTGGGATCATGTCTGCCACCTAAAATGAAGCAGCTTCAATATTTCTGGTTAGATCAGTGCTTTCACAAATTCCAATGAATGTTGTTGCTGTATTTGTTATGCAAATGACAATCACTGAATCTGACATGAAGAGAATTAAGAGAATCCATCACATTTAGATGTCATCGCTTGTTCAAAGTGCTAACTTTCTAATCACACATTTAAGTCTTACTGAAAACTGTTAATTATTGGACACGTTAACAGACAGATGTTTCCCGAAAATACTGATTAAATGATGCAAGAAAAACACTCAGTACACCCACCCACACACGCACACACAAATGGAGAACAATGGGGCCCCATTAGCTCCATTGACCATAATGAGCCAAATTAGTACCCAGCCCATACTCTTGTGATCTGAAAGCTTGTGAAAAGCGTGAGACTGCTTTTGAATTTCTCTTGTGCTTCATGACCTCCTTTGTCTCCCGCTGTAGGTTGTCATTAACCTCTGAACCCTTTCCCTCTACTCTCATCTCTACAGTGAACACCGCCCCCATCTTTTCCTTCTTAACACCGCCCTAGCTTCTTTTCCCTGCACTCTCCTACCGTCTCTACCCTCTCATTTCCCTCACTTCTTGTAAACACATGCCTGACCTTTCTCTGAATCTGTTTCCCTGTCTGGCTCCTTTTACTGTTTCAGTATCTGAAGTAAATCTTAAAAAGCTTTTGTCCCAAAATGTATTGTGTTAAAAGTGTTTTATGTATCAGGGCTACATCTGTTTAAACTTTGGATGTGTTCACCTTTTTTTAGCAACCGACTTCCTAATGAGTCAGGAGGTCATTAGAGTCATACTGTGATCAACAAAACACAAGTACTCTCTTTTTAAAAAAAATAAATAAAGATCAACAAATATGGAAACAGTTTCCATATGAAGGAGAACTACTACTCTTCAGGGAAGAGAATATTTCAGAAACAGACCTGAACAAGAGCATACTTAAGTCTGTTATCACTTTGAAATTAAGGGCAAGTCTTAATAAAAGTCTTGAATAATTCTTTGTTCCTTAATATATTTGCTTCTAACAACTTGCAAGCCTGCCTTTGATCGATGCTCCTGCAGTGTGACAAACCCACTGATTGTCGATTTAGGACTTTCTGGACCAAAAAGGAGCAACAACAAATATGGAACAGTATCTGATACCAAAATAAAATCCTGCACTGCTGTTGCTACGACCAGTGTCTTTCTTTTCTAGTTTGAAGCGGTTTTTATAAGTCTCCTTGTCCTCTTTTAAGACTTTCTTTCCATTTATGTGATTCTATTGCATTAATAAATTGTACAGTCTGTCACAGGGAACAGATCAGTAGCATCTCTGTTATTATCCTTACCAAAGTTATTATTGTGCACACTCCTATTGTAAGCTTGAAAATCACTTGTAAATTCACTTTCCAGTAGATTTTCCAGCTGCAGGTAAGAAAGATATACTTTCCCAACATGTTAGATAAATGTATGAAAATACAATAAAGTATTTCAGGACAAACAAAGAAATTCCTAAATTGATCAAATTTGGCATACATTGGTCAGCTAAAAGCCAAAAGCATCTCTCAGCAACTTGTTCTGTTCTTTGCTGGAGTTTATTCTAGAACTGGACATAAATTGACAGTCCTGCAATAAAGTATTTGGCGATTTCCACTATACAACATGGTTATTATTTGATAAATAAGGTCTCTGAACCTAAAGTCATCTCCAAACTAACAAACCTCTGAATTTCCAGCAACAATCTGTTAAACTTACAGATTGTTTTCCTTTTTCCGCTAGTTAAACTGCATTGTCCATCTCTGTCTTTCTTTCCTCCCTTTAGGTCCTCTCTGTTTTGGCCAAGTCCTCAAGGAAGGCGTATACCTACCTCCAGCACAGCTTAAGAAAAAACAGATGGTTTTTGTCATCCCACATCAAGGAACCCAGACGGCTCCAACAGAGACGTGTAAAGGGAAGGGAGCGTGGCCTTTCAATTTTATCAGCTGCATTGTTTGTGCCACGTAGATTTGACCCAAGAGGAAGCACATGGGCTGTGTTTAGATTCTGTCGTGAGTTATGCTGCCAGGTATAAGCAGGCAGATAATTTCTCCTGAAAAATTAGACAAACACAGGAAAATTCAGGAAGTGTTTGTTTTACGAGAGGAGAACCTGTAAATAAGCAGACGAGGTATTCCCAGAGTAAAGACATTTGACCTTTGAGGAAAAGGTCGATAAAAGTTCCTCTG